TGTTTTAACTGGCGGCATTGATGAGAACAGAGAGCAGTGGCGGGGCCAGCGAGGGGGGCGCTTGGCCAGGCTGAGGACTGGCCGCCAGCTCAAGCCCACCCGGGAGTGTCGGTCCCAGGCACAAGGCTCAGTGTCCGTAGGCTGCTCACGGCTTTTGGTGCCAAAGGCAGTTTCCCTTTTGAGGTAACCTCTGAAAACATGTTGGCTGCCCGAGCCCCTCTGCCAGCCAGAGCTGTGCAGGTTCCTCCACAATTTTGGAGCCTCCCGGAAAGCAGTGCCCTGCTTTGCCACCCCAGCCACTGCGGCTCTGCTGTGAAAAATCCCTTCCCTGCCTTGGCCCGCTCCATCTGTCCCGCTAAAATACATGAGCTAAGTTTAGGCTCCAGAAAAAAATGGCATCCAGAGGGTTGGGAAAGCTTTGCCAGCTCCCTGCACCTCACACCACTGTTTGGAGTCCCTCTGCCAGCCAGCCCCTGGTAGCGGGGATGCTGCACCCATTTTCAGGATGCTCAAAAGGGAACACCCTGCTCCGGCATTGCCAAGAGCCAACCTGTTTCTCAGCCCCTCTCCCCACAGTGGCCAGCAGTGCAGAGCTCAGACTTACCAGGGAAGGGCTGGCGTGGCGGCGTGCAAGGTGCCTGTGTGTGTCTGCCCAGGCAGCTGCCGGCGCTGGGCTGGGGCACTCGAGGGCTTCCTCTTTTCTGCGGTTTTGCCTCGTCCTGGCCCCACAGCGGGTCCTTCCTGCTGCACGTGGCAGCTGGCACAGCCCGCTCCCAGCACTTCCCCTGTGTCTCCTGGGCAGCGATGTGACCCATGGCTGGGTGTGTGCCCTGGGGGTGGGTGCGTGCCCTGGGGGTGGGTGCATGTCCATGGCCAGGTGGGTGCCCCATGGCTGGGCGGGTACCCCGTGACTGGGTGGGTGCCCCATGGCTGGGTGGACGCCCCATGGCTGGGTGGACGCCCCATGGCCTGGATGGGTGCCCCACAGCCAGGTGAGTGCCCTCTGGGTGAGTGGGCATCCCATGGCTCAGTGGAGGACTCATGGCTCAGGCATGTCCCATATCCGAGAGGGTGCCCCATGGCTGGGTGCATGCCCCACAGCAAGGTGGGTGCCCTGTGGCTGAGTGGGTGCCCCACGGCCATGTGAGTATCCCATGGCTGGGTGGGTGCTGCAGGGCTGAGCATTTGCGCGCCTCGTGGCTGGGTAGGTGCCCGTGGCTGGTGCATGCCCTGTGACTGCCCCATGGCTGGATACTGCACATGGCAGGGTGCATGTCCTCCGGCCAGTGTCCTATGCCAGTGTGGGATGCTGTTGCCCAGTGCATGCCCCATGGCAGGTGCAGCCCCACGGCAACACCTTGGCACCCCTGGGAAAGGCTCCTGGTGCAGGTGCTGCTCACAGCTCTGTGCTTGTGCATCCCCAGGTGATTCCCCCAAAAGACTCCAGCTGGGCTGCAGCTCCCTGGAGAAGGTGCATGAGGCCCCATGCAGGATTTCAGTTCCCAAAAGGGGTTTCACAGGTGCCAGGTTTGGAACCAAGCCCAAATCCTGGCTCCTTTCTGCCAAGACCCACTCCTGTCCCAGATGCCAGACAGAGCCCTGATGCACAGGCCAGGCTGCAGTTTTCCAAGGTACCTGTCCCCTGTTTGCCTGCCAGGACCATGGCAGCGCAGAGAGTAGAGCTGCCCGGCAGGGCCATGCTGAGAGCTCTGCTAGCTGGCAGCTTTGTGCCAAAGAACACCCCACAAACAGTCTTTTGCTGAGATCACTAATACATTATTATTATTATTATTATTATTATTATTATTATTATTATTATTATTATTATTATTATTATTATTGAAAGCAGGACTGT